CTCTCTTGCACTGTCCCTCCACCCTTCCAAACATGATGACCTTCTCCAAGGACTGGTCCCTCCTGGCCACATGCTCAGAGTATGGGAGAAGGAGCCCCAAAATCCTTGCCTCCCAGGAGTAGCTTGGTTTCAACCTCTCCAGGACAGACCTGTTTGTTCTCTCAGCGATCCATGGAATGTTCAGTACTCTTTGCCAGCGCCAAGTGAGTGATGTTGTTGAGTACCACCAAGTCAGAACTGACTCATAGCTGACCCTCCAGCAGGTTTTCAGAGTCAGTAAACCCACATAGGAGGAGATTGTCCATCTTTCTCCCTCAGCGCAGCCGGCAGACTTGAACTGACTGCCTTTGGGTTGGAAGCACAACTTCTTACCCTCTAGGCTTCCAGAGCGCCTTGCATAAATTTGCCACAGTTGAAAAATTAGACCCACACCCACCCTACTGGTGTTTCTAAATATAATCTATATGTACTGTGAATAGATGTTGTTGTTGTTGTTATGTGCCGTCGAGTCATTTGCGAATCATAGCGACCCTATGTACAACAGCCCTAAACGCTGCTCTATCCTGTGCCAATCGCATGGCCTCTGACACACCCATCCTGATTACCCCAGTCACTGAGTCAATCCACCTCATAGAGGGTCTTCCCCTCCCGCACTGTCCCTCCACCCTACCAAGCATGATGTCCCTCTCCAAGGACCTGTCTCTTCTTACAAAGTGTCCAAAGTATTTCAGACGAAGCCCCAGAATCCTTAACTCCAAGGAGTAGCTTGGTTTAACCCTCTCCAGGAAGAATCTGTTTGTTTTCTTGGCAGTCCATGGTACATTCAATACTCTTCTCCAGCACCACAGCTCAAAGGCATCAAGTCTCCTTCTGTCCTCCCTAGTCATTGTCCAACTCTCTGATGCATAACAAGTGATTGCAAAGACCATGGCCTGTATCAGGCGCACCTTAGTCTCCAGAGAGACACCGTTGCTCTTGAGCACTTTAGAGAGGTTCCTAACAGCAGACTTTCCCATCGTGATACGTTTTTTTATTTCCTGGCTGTTGGTGTCAAGAGTGTTGACTGTGGAGTCGAGCAAACTGAAGCTGTGAACAGTCTCAATCTCTTCACCATCCATCCTGATGCTACAGATTGGTCCAGTGGTGAGAATCTTTGTCTTCTTGACATTGAGCCTCAGTCCATACTGAAGGCTGCAGTCCTTGACCCTCTGCAGCAAGTGCATGAGGTCCTCCTCAGTTTCAGCAGATTTATATAAAGCAGAGCAAAGAGCAGTAATAATGGGGACACTTTCAGCTAAGGCTTTCAGTCATAACTTTCTCTAACACCTTGAGTGAAGGAACACAGATCCGGCCCTCGCCCTATCCTGCCTGCCTGTCCTCGCCATCTCTCATGTGGTCGAACCCATTGTTACTATTGTCACTGTGTCACCTTGTTGATGGTCTTCATATGTCAGTCACAAAAAGACAATGATACATAAATAATGGTGTAACACCATTATTATAAAAAGAACTAAGGATCTGGCGGCCTAGTGGCAAGAAGCTGCACTGCAGTCCCAGAGGTGCTTGGTTCGAATCCACCAGATGCTCTGCTGGAGAAGGAGGGGCAATCTCTTCCTGTACCGGTCAGATCTGATTTGACGGTACACACATAAAATATAATAAAAATTTTTTAAAAAAACCCAAAACCCTAAGGAAAGGATTATATACCTAGAATCTGTCCTGGAGGGCTAACAGGGATGGGAAGGGAGGAAGAGGGAATAAGAATTCATAAATAGGGGAGCTCTGGTGGCCTAGTGGCAAGGAGCTGCAACTACAATCCCAGAGGCGCACGGTTCGAATCCACCAGATGCTCTTCCGGGGAAGGAGGGACAGTCTCCTCCAGTACCAGTCAGATCTGATTTGATGGTACACTCACACAAAAATAATAAAAGAAATAAAAATTTTTTAAAAAGAATTCATAAATAGAGGTGTTGGGTAAAGGGCAGGCAACACACAATAAACAATTGATTAGATGTTATTATTAATGAATTATCTTCATCAAATTGTAATCAAAGGTATAAAGCAAAATGTCTCTGAGGGATCAAATGAAAACACATGATTTGTAAACTTCCACATGTATAAAGAAAATAACATATTGGAAAAAAAATTAATGAAATAAAATTCTTCTTGAGTCAGGGGCTGGTGGTGCCTTTTCCCTGTATGTCTCCCTTTGCCAAGTATTTTTCCTAATAAGCTTCTTTGCTTGCATTAAAAAAAAAATTCTTCTCGTTGTTCTGTGCTGTCAAGTAAAAAATTATTCACTTCGAATCCCCCAGATGCTCTGCCGAGAAGGAGGGACACTCTCCTCCTGTACCAGTCAGATCCGATTTGACGGCACACACACGCAAAAATAATAAAATAATTTTTTTTAATTTATTCACAGCTGACCCTCCAGTGGGTTTTCAGGGGCAGCAAATTGCACAGGAGAAGACTGCTCAATGTTCCCTGTGGAGCTACTAATGGATTCATACCATATGCCTTTAGGTTGGCAGCACAAACTTCTGACCACTAGAATATGTTGTTGTTATATGCTGTCAAGTCGCCTGCGATTCATAGCAACCCTATGCACAATGGCTCTGAGGCCGACCCTGTCCTGAGCCAGCCTCACTGACTCTGATACACCTACCCCTAGTCACTGTATCAATCCATCACATCGGGGTCCTCAGCACCTGCATGATCCCTCCACCCTTCTGAACATGATGTCCTTCCCCAAGGACCAATCTCTCCTGGCCACATGCCCAAAGTATGTGAGATGAGCTCTTAAAAGAAATAGATTGGGGTGGGGAGCAGGGGGATTTTGTGTTTGGTTTTTTTTTAAAAAAGTGACAGGAAAAACAAATCCAGACTTAAAAGAGAGAGAACTCGAAGATTGTAGGAGGGTTAGATAAAAGACAGAGGCAGAAGAAAACAGGAAGTTGGAAGAAGACTGTTAGGGCCAGCGGGCAGACAACAGAACCCAAGAAGAAAGAGGGAGGCTGAACCAGTTAGAACAGGAGATGGGGAGGAAGGAGGAACCCCGGAGTGGATACACACAATAAGGCTTCATGATAATCATGGCATTGATCTGGGCCACTGTGTGTCACAACAACTTGACTAAAGGCTAGGGAAGCTGAGCTGAGGTTCGAGGATGTTGTTTGGCGGTGGTGTTTTGGGCCCCGAATGTTACAGGCAATCAAAAGCAGAGTCCTAACCTAGGGCGATTGTTCCAGAACTCTCAGTATCTTAGAAACAGAACAGAAAGAGGTGGAGACAAAACCAAGTCATGCGCTACAAAAAACAGTGGGGAGGGCAAATTTCTTATTATACATATTTTACCCTGCACAAACTTTTCTTCTTTAGAGCATTAAAAAAAGAACATGAAAAGCCAAGGAAAGGGCCATGAGATGCAGAAATGGACTCTACCAACCCTGGGCCCACGTATCACGGCAGGCTGGTCTCTGCTAGTATCTCCTTGGCAGCAAGGACGGGGGGAGTTAGCAGGTGGGGACAGTCCTTGGAAAAAAGACATCATGGCGGGAAAAGGGTGGGTAAAGAGGAGGGCCTCCGGTGAGATGGGTTCACAGCGGTTTGAGCATGGTGGAGACGTTGACCGGGTGCGGGATGGAGCAAGGTCTCCTTGTTCCTCATGAGCTCGCTATGCACTGGAGTCAACTTGATCGCGTCGCAGAAGTCCTAACAAGGCACTGTGGGGCACGTGGGCTACGCGTTGGACTGTTAACTGGAAGTTTGGATGTGCAAATGCACCAGTTGTTCTGTGGGGAACGAGGCTGCTTGTCCTCACTGATGAAAGGTCTCTCCGGGCCAGAATTGACTCAACAAAAGTGGGCATAGGTTGGCTTTTGGGGGCGGGGGGGAGGGCAGAGGGGACGTATTTTGGTTTTCTCTCTCAGGAGTCCTAATGGCACAGTAGATTTAAAGCGTTGGGTTAAGATAAGGTCAGAAGTCACCAGCCACCGAAAAAACTTTATCATTTGCTTCTATAAAGGCAGGTGGAGGAGTCCTCGTGAGTCAGGCCTTGACAGCAAGGGGTCTTAGAGCTACAGTGGCTTAGTGGTAAAGAGTTGCTTTATCAACTCTTGCGGTTCGAATCCACCGTTCCATGTTAGAAAGAGAGGCAGCCTCCTCCAGAGATATTTACTGTCTCTGAAAGCCCGCAGAGGGTCAGCTATGAGTCAACAATATGAAACACTTTTTATAGCAATAGCTCAGGCTTTCTCCCTTGGCACCTCCCCATGGGTTCAAACTAGCAATCCCACGGAGTTTCAATGCCAACCATTGGTGCCATTTACAGAGCCACCAGAGATGCTGGTCGTGTAGTCTATAGTGAGATGGACTATTGTCCAAAAGGCCAAGCCTCTCTGCCACCACTGGAGAGGGAGAAAGCTGGGCAGTCTCCTCCAGGGCTGCCTCAGAAACCCAGAGCTGGAACAGACTGGACAGGTAGTGGATTGTGAAGGGTTTACTTTCAGGAGCCACCAGAAAGCACGAAATGCACTGCAAACACCATACAGAGCACATGCTTCCCAAAAAGCTAAGAAATGTACATGTGGAAACATTCTTGGATGGTGACCAGTAATGGGAAAGACAAATCTAGGTAGACACATATGAAGATGAAGGGAAGGCAATGTTCAAAGAGGCTCTGATCTCCTCACTACCACAAGAGGGGCCCAAGTGGTTGGAAAATCCATTCTCCCCATTTGCCCTCAAACCACAATAATAAAGGAAGAAAGAGGGAAAGAGAAGTAAAGATGAGGAGAGGTAAGAAGGGAACTGGAGACAAAGACACACACAGAATGACGAGGTGACGCAAAGAAACTGAGGTACACACTGGATTTTCAGCAGTTGCTGTGAAGCTGGATGGATATTTATTAAGCTAAGCTCCTCCAGGAGGCAGGCTGGGGCAGGAGGAGGCCTCCAGCTGGCAAGGAGGTGGAACAGGCTAGGTGGCATGGCCAGGGCACTCAGTACTTCTCGCTGGGCTCAGCAGTTGACTTGGTGTTCACTGCCGTCTGCACCTTCTCCACCAGGCTGGCCCACTGGCTCTTTATGTCTTCCGCCAGGGGCTGGAACCAGTTCTTTAAGCGGTCCTGCAGGGCCTCGACCTGCAGGCGCATCTGGGTGGCCTGCTCCTCCACCTTTAGGCGCACCTCCTCCATCTGCTCCTGTAGCTCATCGAAGCGGTCACGGGCCCGGCTGCCCACCTCCTCAAGCCGTCCGCGCAGCTGCTGGCCCCAGGCCTGGGCACGCTCGCGCAGAGGCTGGCCGGCCAGGGTGCCCACGGTGGCAGCGCGTGTGCGGCCCTTCTCCAGCAGAGGCCCCACGTGCTCGCGGAAGGCATTCACGCTGCGCTCTGCGCCCTCGAGAGCCCCGTTGCGGTACACGGCCAGGCGTTTCTGCAGATCCTCAAAGTCGCGCACCAGACGCTTGCGCGTCTTGCGCAGGTGGGAGGCCAAGCGTGCGCGCATCTCCTCGGCGCTCTGGCCCAGCACGGTCTGCGCCTCACTGCGGTATTGCACCAAGCGGTTGCGCACGTCCTCCATGTCAGCCGCCAGGCGATCCTGGGCCGCCTGCAGCTCCTTGGCCAGGCGCACCCGCGTCTGCTCGGCCACTGGTCCTAGCTGGGTCTTCAGCTCTGCCTTGTAGGCTGACAGTTCTTTCATGGTCTCGTCCATCAGCGTCCTGCAGGGTGGAGAGGGTAGGAGAGGAGGAGAGAGACAGGTAGGTGTGGGTGGGGAAAACAAGAGAGAAAGGCTGGGGGACAAGGTGGGCAAGAACAGTGTTGGAGACCCAAAAGATGGAAAGGAAAAAAAAAAAAGCAAGACAGAATCTGCTCTATACATTTGTAAGACCTTTTAGAAGCAGATTGTCAGAAAAGACTTCCAAAGGGATGGATTTGAACTACAGACCTTTCCAGTTACTAGTCCAGCACTTAACCGCTTGTGCCACCTAGTGGCACTTTGGGAGCACGGCGGAAGATTGTGATAACAGGTCAACCCAGAGAGCAATACAAAGAGAACAGGAGGGAAGAGTGGTCTAGGAAGGAGCTCAAAAAAGAGACACAGCATTAGCAGAGAGAGTGCCAGGGCCTCAAGGGTGGGAACGGGCTAGAGATGGGCTCGAACCAGGCACTCACGTCAGCTCCTGGATGACCTGAGTGCTGAGCAGCTCCTCCTGCACTTCCCCACTCAGCGACTGCACCCATCTCAGATAGTCCCAGAAGCGGCCCATGGCCTGCTCCCAGGGCTGGTTGCCCTGCAAACCAGGCTGCTCAAGTCCAGCTTGAACTTCTGGCTCGGGCTCCGCTTCCGCGTGGTATCCTGCAAAGAGACCGTCCAAAGCTGGTTAGGGCCTTTCTGTGCCTCAGGATCCCCGAGGCACTGAAACGAAACCAAACCCACCGATGGCAAGTCAGTTCCCTAGATGATCATAACCTCAGTTGCCTTCCTAGGTCATAAACAAAACTAAAACCAAACCTAGCTTTTCTTTTCAAAATTGTTATTTCTGTGACAACTTACAAAGAAAACTGCTTTTTCATTCCCCAATTGACTTTTTTTTATTTCACACTTTTCTAGAAAATTCAGCTCATCCGTATTTTTATGACTAATTATAATCCTCACATTGTAACGGCACTCTTCCCGCTTCCTCCTGGTGATTCTTCTTTCCATTATACCCTCCCTGCCTCTTGACCTTTATCCCTGGGTAAATGCTGCCTTTTTGACAGGGTGTGCTTGCTTTTTCTTGGGTGTTCACTGTAGGCCTTGTCTCTCGTTTGGGTGAAAGTTGCCTCACAGTGGTGGGTTTTGTCCCAGATTCCAAACATCACTAAGGGTCATGGTCTCAGAGACCACAGGCTGAAAATCTTAATGGACAGAGGTGGCCTCATTTTTCTCTTGTGAAGCCGCTGCCAGGCTTGAGCTGCCGACCTTTCTGTTAGCAGCACAACACATAACCGACTAAGCCACAAGGGCTCATGGGCTTCTTCCGAGCAATGGTGGGCAGGGAGGGGATGCTGGGACACCCCACTGTTTAATGACTGGACAAGCATCTGTGGAATGTTTTTGTAGGTGCGGATTTGGAGCTGCTCTGGGGGAGGGAGATGATTGTTCTTAATCATTTCTCTCTGGTGGGTGCATATCTAGTGCTCACCACCTGCTAAGTGCTTCCTGAATACAGTAAAAGCAAGGAAAACCAGACAGAACCTGGATAAAGCAGAAACTAACTCGAGAAGACAGAGCCAGCAACATGGTGAGCTGCATGGTCAAAGGCAGAGAATGTCTCAAAAACGGGAAATGCAGGGTCACCCCAGTGTCTGCTACCCCAGATTTAACTCATCCAGGCAACTTGTAGCAAGTCTGCAGGGGAGCCGGGCACTGTCCCTGGGGTCTCCAACACTGGAAATCTTGACAGATTTTTTCCCCCTGCAGAGCGGCTGATGGATTCGAATGCTTGACCTTTTTTGTTAGCTGCTGAATGCCTTACCCTCAGCACTACCTGACAATCTTCCCATTAAACCCATAGTAGGATGGACTCTAGCTATCTTCCATCTGGTTTCTGAGGCTGTTCCTATTTACAGGGAAACAACCTCTCCACGGGTGGCAAGAAACTGCTGAGAACATTTTAAGGATTCGGTGTATGTGAGAAAGGACTCAGATCTGGGGTGGGGGACAGACTCTCAGAAGACCCACAAACTGAGAGGGAACCTCTGCCAGCCTCGTCCCCATTTCATACCTGCCAGGAGGGAGACCACCAACACAGCCCACAGACCCTTCATCTTCGGGCAGCGATTGGTCAGTCTGGAGGAGGAGAGATGTGTCCATCAAGAGCTCAGGCCCACCTGGCTGCCTGTGTCCCAGCAGGGATCGCCCACACCCGCCCCCAGAGCCCCTCCTTTGTCTCTTTAATTCTCCCATTGTCTACCCCTATCTCCTCACCCCAGATCAGCTTCCAAATCCCAGCTCCCTCTCCAGGGATCAAATTCCACCCACCGGGCCCCTGCCCCATCTGTTCCCCGTGGCCTCGCTCTGTTCTGACCCCGGAGACTTCACCTCGCTGCGCCACTTTCCACGTGGGCATCCCCTCGACCCTCGTTTAAAACTCCATTCTGGAGTCGAGGATCCAGCCGCTCCGTCTCCCTGGCCTTTGCCACAGGGTGCACACAGTAGGTACTCAATAAACGCCAGTGGCGACCGACCCACACCCTGGACCACTCGTGCTGCACGCAGGAGGTCTGCTGTCTGTACACCCGTCTTCAGCAGAGACCAGCGCCCCGGCTTACCATGGGACCTAGCTCCCTGCTCCCCAAGTCCGTCCCAGGCCAGTTCTCTCGGGGTACCCTTAGTTCTACTCTTTGCCCGACTGTTCGTCTCCAAAGATAGGGATCCTTAGTATGTATCCCCCTCCTAGAAGCCCTGAAGTGGTGGGGTCACAGCGATCCCCCTCCCCTGGGTCTCACCAACTCCGGGAAAGTCCTTAGTCTCCGCCGGGGCTGAGCAGGACTCCTGGAGCCCAGACTCGCCCAATTATAGGCTCCCCCTGTCCCGCCCCCACCACCAGGGCCGGCCGGGCCAGCCCCCAGTCACGAGGTGGGCTGGTGGAGGAAGGAGGTGGGGCTTGGAGGTCCTTTCCCCCCCACCCCGCAGTCCCTTGGAAGTGACACTTCACCCAGTAACCCTGGCACCCTCGTCCATCCTGGGGGGTGAGGGGCTGTTCACCCAACAGGACTGAGTCAAGAAGTCTCTTACTGAGTGTATGAATGAAATTTGAGAGAGAGATTGGTGGAGCTTGGACTTCAGGGTCTTGAGGGAGGAGGGGACTGGGGTCCTAAGTCCTAGGTCTGAGGGAGGGCTTAGACTGCGATAGAGGAAGGAGCTGGAGTTCCAAAATCTTAAGTATGAATGAGGGCTGGGGGCTTGGACTCTTGGACCCAGACAGAATGAGGCTGGAGTTCTGGGTTCTTGGGTCTGAGGAAGAAGGGTACGGGAAGTCCCAGAATCTTTAGTGAATGCAGCCCACCGGGGGCTTAGGCTCTAGGACCCTGAGTGAGGAGGGGGCTGGTGTTCTGGGCTCCTGGTTCTAGAAGCTTTGAGTCTGTCCCAACCCCCAGACACCCTGTCACATTAACAGAAGGAAACTCTGCCCAGCGCTGTCTGCACGCTGACACGCATCCTCGGAGCCACTGTGTTTATCTGTCTCCTTGAGGGTCTTCAGCTTTACCCAGCATGATGTCTTTCTGCAGAGACTGGACCCTCCTGATAAGCCGCTCAAAGTAAGAACCTGACACTGGCCAGCACTTCTTCCAGGACAGATGTTTTCTTTTGGCAAGTCCAAGGAAGGAGGGGTGTAAAAACGGAGTGTCTAGCCTCCTGGAACTCAAAATCAAAAGCAACAGCCCCGGGCTGATTCCAAAGAGCGGAAGCTGAGCGTGCTCTCCTGGCCCTTTTTACCAGTTCTGACACCAGTCGTCGTCCCTCCGCCCACGGCAGGCACCCTTACCTGTGTCCCCTGCTTGCAGTGGTCACACAGAACTCGGACCATGCACATGGTTGTGGGGTTGGTTGGGGTAAATACCAGGGCGCAATTCGGGATCAGGAATGACTTTGGAAAAGAACTATGGTTAGGACAGATTTTGGCCATGCCCACAAGCAGAGAGAGCTCCCTTGGCCCTTTGACCTGACCTCTGCCTTGCTGGGGAAAGCATTACAAAGCTCTTTTCCAGAGGCGCCCCAATCCTCCAGGCTGCCTCTGGCCAGAAGGCTCCAACTCCTCAATCCTAGAAGGGTCAGTGTGGTCACTGTCACTCAGGAGAGCCATCGCAGCAAAGCCTAGCGCTGGTCCCCTGCCTGGTTCTGCAGCCACTCCTGAGGTCATGCACCATTTCCAAGATGTCAGCTTGCTTCCTGCAACTGGAAGGTTCTCAGCCCAAGGGCACTTCATTCACATGTTGTCAGAACTTGGCTATCCCTCCAAAAGGTTTCCAGAGCCCGCTGGTCACACAGGAGATTGTCCAGCCTTCTCCCGCTGGGTGGATTCAAACCGTGAACCTGTAGGATTACAGCAGGTGCTTACCACTGCGGCTCCCAGAGTCCCACTCAAGTGGCTGATTGAGGATTTGTGTAAAATGAAATCATTGACACAGTGGCTGCAGCAACAGGCTCAAGCAGGGTGGAGATTGTAAAGGTGGCACAAGACAGAGCAAAGTTTTGACCTGTCTGTTCAGAGGGTCGCTCCACATTATAATGGATTCAAGGGCTCATAACAATGCAAACAGTTGGTGAGAGTCAAAAAAGGCTATGTGCAAGTTACTCCGTTGTTATGTATCACCCAGTCAGAACCTACTCACATCTGACCCTGCAGTAAGTTTTCAGAGGCAGTAAACTGAGAGAATGCCAGTCTTTTTCCCGTGAAGCAAGTGGTAGATTTGAATTACCTACCTTTGGGATGGCAGTGCAAATCTTTACCACTGAAGAGCTCTCACACTAACCCTGGGAGCTTGGATTCTTGGATCCAGAGAGAAGAGGCAGCAGGATTTCTGGGTCTGAGAGAGGAGGCTTAGTGCCAACATTAGTGGGAGAGAGGGGGTGAGAAGGAGGGGGCCACATAAAGCAGCTGCTCAAAGATTCTCTGAGTATGAACCTGGATTTCCATCACCGCGGCCCCACCTCCTTAGCTGTGTGGGATCCCCTCCCCGAGGCGCTTTCTCTAACTTGGAAAGACGTTCCTAACACATGCCAAGCTGTGAGTGTTCAAAGGGTGGCACCCATGGCACCTTTCATGGGGCTTCCAGAAACAATTCTGCCTGTTTGGACTCTGAAGCCAAACAGCCACAATTTGCCAGCTGTGTGACCTTGGGCAAAAGACCTAACTTCTCTGAGCATTGGTTTGTTCATCAGCAAACTTGGAAAATAACTACCCGTCCACCTGGCTTGGTGATGCAATGGGTTAATGTACCTCCATGAGTCAAGTGCTGAGAACAGTCTTTGGCTTTCAGTGGGTGTTACCTTAGGGGCAGCTGCTGCCATGGGCAAACGCTGTGGCCTTCACAGCTGGATGCAGCCCAGCTGCCCAGGTCGGCAAAGCCACACAAGAACTGGCCGGAGATTCACTCCTGGCTGTGAGGAGGCGGGACGCTGGATCCCAGGAATGGTGCCCCAAGGCCGCGCCTGGCTGCCTTGGCCTCAGAAGGCCTGGCAGGGAGGGGGGAGACTTGCTGGGGTAACCAGAGGTCATTCTGCCCAGCAGACTGCACTGCACGGGG